TAGCTTCCCATATAGCGCCAGTTTATCATTCCGATGGCAACGCCCACCGGTTTCAAGCTATATTAAAAGTTTTAAATGAAATGTATTTGTTTCTTCAATACCTATCGAATGACCAAAAAAAGCGTGCCACGCCCACAAACCGCAAGAAACTGCGGCGCCCACAGCTTTAAGGCTTGACTGAAAATTTGCCATACCGCCTCTAAGGCCCCCAAATGTATGTATGTATGTATAGCGCACTTATTCAATATGGTACCCCTGCCTATCGCGATAATTTTTGTTTTAAAGTTGGTTACCTGAGTAACGGGTTGTATAATGACCGAGGCACTCGACTATAGAGTTCTCCCTTGTGTAAAGTTTAAAATGTTAAATTCCGGTACTTTTCCTTCATTTCTTTAGAGAGGGCGTGGCGCTCGGCTGAAATAAACTTGCGCTGCGTAGAAAGCCCGAGAATATGAGTGGGTAATCCCAACTTTCTAGCTTTTGAAGTTTTCAAGATCTCAGCGTTCATACGGATAGGCAGACAGACGGAAAGACGGACATGGCTATATCGACTCGGCTAGTGACCCTGATCAAGAATATATATACTTCATAGGGTCGGAAACGCTTCTATCTCCCTGTTAAATACTTTTGCACGAATACACCCAAAAATCTAGGGCCGCATTTCTTACATTACTACCGTTTTGTTCTTTTATATATGTCAAAGTAAGTAAACAGTTTTTCAAATGTATTTCAATTAATATTTCATTAATAACTTTAAGAACAAAAATGTTCTTAGTTTAAGTTGTTGTTTACTAATTACAAAAAAAAAAAAATTGTGTTGTGAGCGGGAATTGAGCCTCGTTTCCCCAAACACAAAATAATACCAGGACTTACAGCAACTTGGCTCCTGGGCCATGCCCTTATTATTCCCTTCCATGGCAGAATGCTTACAGGAGCATTCAATGAAATTTATTTTTGTACTGAAAATAAATATGAATCTACACAGAGAAAAAAAACCAAGAACATTGCACTCAAATCAAGAACATTCGTTCTTAAAAACCGGGTAAGCACAAATGTTCTCATTTCGAGTTGAATGTTCTCAATATCAGAACGAAATGGTGTTAGCTAAAATTCCGTTCTATTTTCAAGTTGATTATACCCGTTACTCGTAGAGTAAAGGGGTATATTGTATTCGTACAAAAGTATGTAACAGCTAGAAGGAAGCGTTTCCGACCCCATAAAGTATATATATTCTTGATCAGGGGCACTAGCCGAGTCGATCTAGCCATGTCCGTCTGTCCGTCTGTATGAACGCTGAGATCCCAGAAACTATAAAAGCTAGAAGGTTGAGATTTCCCGCACATATTCTTTGGCTTCCTACGCAGCGCAAGTTTATTTCAGCCGAGCGCCACGCCCCCTCTAACGCCCACAATCGCCCACTAACGATTTTAAAATGTGTCCTGCGCCCACATCTTTAAAGATTTCCGAGAAGTATAAATGAAATTTTGTTGTGTATATTTATACCTATCGAAATGTAGAAGACATTTTTTATATCGGACCATTCATTAAAAAGTTATACGCAATCAAAAAATCGTTATATATCTTTCTCACTCGCACTCCCTTTAGCTAAGGTTCGAATATTAGATATTCGAGACACCAACCCGAGCACAGCGTTCGCACTCCCTTTAGCTGAGTGACGGGTATTAGATAGTCGGGACACCAACCCGACTATAGCGTTCTCTCTTGTTGATGATTTGGTTTGGTGGTACGAGGTTCAATTCCCGCTCACAACACAACATATTTTTTTTTTGTAATTAGTAATTTAACAACTTAACTTTTTTGATACATTTTTGTTCTTAAAGTTATAAAGGAAATGTTAATTGAAATACATTTGAAAAACTTTTTACTTACTTAGACTTATTCTGTTTTAGAACCGGGGTCCTCTCGCATCAGAGGCAGACGCCTTACCAACTGGGCCATCGCACCATGTTACGCGCGCGTGCATAAGTTTAACTTAAATCTAAATTTACTGGTCTTAAACCAATACCCTTTGGTATCAATATAAGAATATGAACTCAAAAAAAATTTTTCACTAAATTTTAGAAAATCGCCCTAAAAATTTCTTTTTTTCTAAATACAAGAAAGTTATTTCTAAATCTAAGGAAATTTTTCTTAAGTCAAGAAAGTTTTTCTCAAATCTAGGAAGTTGTTCTTAAATGTAGAAAATGGTTACCATGAACTAAAATCACCCTAAAATCTAGAAAAAATGCCCTTAAAATTAGAAATTATTTTCTAAAAAATAGAAAGGCAAACGAAAATAATAAAATATTTTGGCAACACCTTTTCTAAAAATTAGTGCCCTAACCCTAAAATGAAACCAACCCTAAATAATAGAAACATTTTCTAAAAAGTAGAAATTTTTTTCTAAAAAATAGAAATATTTGTTTTCACATGCTCTGGCACACCAAAATGTTCTATCCCAGAACTTGTAGGCCGGCTGTACTCGTGGCGCAGACGGTTAAAGCACTTGGTTAGCAATCGAATCGACGTTCGAGTCCCAGAGCAAAATTTTTTAATCTTTTTTTTTATTTTCTTTTTATGTTATTTTATTTTTTTTATTTAATTTATTTTCTTTTTATTTATTTTTTTACTTTTTTTATTTTTTTTTATTGATGGCAAGCGGTAAACTGAAAATAATTAGGTTTATATTCAGCTATGATATTTATATACTACACATAATATAAATTGCGTTAGCATAAATATATACATATGTATATACGTATGTAAATAAGTAAAACGCGAATGGTCAAACTTATGCAATTAGTATTCAAATGTGTTGTCCGCTTCACCCTTTACATACAATGCTCGGTTTGCCACCGAAAGTTTTAGTGCTACAATGGCCCAGTATGTCGGCCATTCGCTCCTCGCGCGGGAGTCCCGGGTTCGATTCTCACGACGGACAAGTAAAAATGTAAGTTTTTTTCATGAAGATAAAATATTAACTAATCATAATTTATACATTCCCCCATTCCCCCGCAGTCCCGTAGACCACATTTACAACCACATTCGGCTTTGGTTACATAAGAAATCCAAGCGCAAATACATAATAATAAATACATAACCTTTAACATTCACAATATACAAGACACACAACGCCTGCATACGTATTACGTACATAGGGAGGAGTATATAATATAAACGTATATAAAAAAACAAGAAAGGAAGCTAGCTTCGGCCAGCCGAAGCTTATATACCCTTGCAGATAATTCCTCTTAATTTACAAATCGCAAAAATGTTAATTTTCCTATTATTTCTCATTAATTTTGCGTTCGTTTCAATGGCAGCTATATGATATAGTAGTTCGATTTTGATAAAATTAAAATCGAAATTCGAAAATATTTGAAAAGAGTTATATCCTAGAGTAGAAGAGAATACAATAAAAACCAACGAAGCAATAATTTATTTCCTATTATATTCCCATTAATTTTCCGATCGTTCCTATGGCAGCTATATGATAAAATCGTCCGATTTTGAAAAAATTTTATTCGAAATTCAGAATTAGATAAAAAATGGCATTTCCAAAAGTAGGATGTTATAGGTTCAAAAACACCCAAAATATAATTTTTTTTAATTTTTTTTCCCGATTGTTCCTATGAGAGCTGTATGATATAGTTATCCGATCCGGCTCGTTCCGACTTATATACTACCTGCAATAGAAATAAGACTTTTGGGAATGTTTTATCCCGATAGCTTGAAAATTGAGAGACTAGTTTGCGTAGAAACGGACGGACAGACGGACAGACGGACGGACAGACGGACATGGCTAGATCGACTCGTCTAGTGATGCTGATCAAGAATATATATACTTTATGGGGTCGGAAACGTCTCCTTCACTGCGTTGCAAACTTCTGACTGAAATCATAATACCCTCTGCAAGGGTATAATAAATCATGATTGAATGTATTCCCCAAAACTTTCCCAAAAGTCTTCTTTCTATTGCAGGGAGTATATATGTCGGAACCGACCGGATCGGACAACTATATCTTATAGCTCCCATAGGAAGGATCGGAAAAGAAAACGTTAAATAAATTCTAGCTTCGGTGTTTTTTGAAATATTACCTTCTACTTTTGGGGATGTTATTTTTTAAATATTTCTGAATTTCGAATTAAATATTTAAAAAGTCGGACTAATATATCATATAGCTGCCATAGGAACAATCGGAAAATTAATGGAAAAGTAATAGGAAATAAATTCTAGCTTCTTTGGTTTTTATTGTATTATCTTCTACTCTAGGATATGACTCTTTTTAAATATTTCCGAATTTCACTTTTAATTTGATTAAAATCGGACGACTATATCATATAGCTGCCATAGGAACGATCGGAAAATTAATGAGGTTAATGAAATTAATTGAACATTATTTGCGATTTGTTAATTAATAGGAATGATCTGCAAGGGTATTTAAGCTTCGGCTGGCCGAGGCTAGCTTCCTTTCTTGTTTTGTTTTTTTTTTTAATTTCTATTTTTTAGGAAAATTTCCTACTTTTAAGAAAATGTTACCCTTAAATTTAGTAAAATTACCCTAAATTTAAGAAAACGAACCTCGACAAAAATCAAAAATATAGGAACATTTTACCCTAAAATTTAGGGCGAGCTTGTCTTGAAGTCAAAAGTAGGGCGATTTCCTTGACTTTAGGGTTAATTTTATTTTGAGTGTGGTCTTAAAAAAAATAAAAGAACAAAACGGTAGTATTGTAAGAAATTCGGTCTTAGATTTTGTCGGTCTTTTTTTTCTGTATTATTAAAATGTAAGAAAATTTAGGAACAGCACATTCTATTAAATGGTTATAGCAAAAAATGGAATGCAAACAGTCGAATTACTGCTAGCATAACTTCATCTTCCTTAGAATAAGATTAGATTAATTAGATTAATTTAGTCAAGATGCTTCTTTTTGTCTGGTTATATTTGCCTTGTTTCGCAAGAAGAGTTTTTTCGATTTACCTATTTTAAGGCACTTACCTTATCCATTGCAGATTTAATAATTTTGCAGGCGCCTTCGGTGCCTGTTATGCTCACTTCTCTGCGATCAGCAGCAGCATTTTGTTCATCAGCTCATTGGCTACAGTCTCATGCAGAGTATTTAGTCTAGCGGCGAGGAATTCGCCAAATTTAATGTAGAGCATTTCCCTGGAGGTTGGTATGTGGCGCACTTGGGAGTGAGATCGACCCAGGCCCCTGCCGCATCCTACGCCCTCTCCGACGTAGCTGCTTTCAGCCGACAGCCTCCCATCAGCGCCCAGTAAGTCCGACTGGCCGACGACAGGCGAGCAGTGCCCAGTCACGTCGTCATCCTCGTCGAAGTCGTCTAGATCCTCTTCCAGGTCCCCGGCGTCAGCGTCAATAAGCTCGTTGTTGGCATTTATGATTAAATGGGGCGGCGAAGTGGCGTACGACGATGAGTTTTTGGGCGTCGGTAACTGCAGCCGCGCCTTGAGTTGTTGCTTGGTTTGCGGACGAATGGTGGCCAGCTTCTTCCGCGTCGCATCTGGTTCATTTCCGGGCACCCTTTCATCTGGGCACCCCACTTCCGGAGAGCCCGGCTCGTCCTTGATGTAGATGGAAGGCGAGGAGCTGCAGGAGCGCGAACTAGATAACACCTGGGCGGGAGAGGTGCGGGCCACGGGCGTGGGCGTAGTGAGGCCAAGTGAAGAGGACAGAGGCTGTTTCTGCAGCGAGGTCAGCGTTACATCCGGCTGCAATTGAAGGGCTTGAAGGTGTTGGGCCTGCTGCTGCAGAGCAGCTGGTAACTGGCTGAGGCTGAGACTTAGATTGGGAATAGTCACTGCTGACAGGCTGCTCTTCAACGGGGGCTGGGATTGGGGCTGATTGTTCGGGTTGTTAGGATCGCTGGGGGCAAAGTACTGATATTCATCCAGGGCTGCACTACTACTGTTGTTGTTGCTACTATTGCGGCTAACGTTGTTGTTGTTGTGGCTGCTACCTGTGGTCGCAGGAACGGGTTCCAGTGAGCCGTGTTTGATCCGCTCCCGGGATCTGAAAAGACAAATGTGAGAATAATATCAGGGACCGTAACTAATTAATATTAGGGGAGAGGTCTCTAGGTTGAGACAGTCTGTAAGTTGAGACACTCAATTTTCTCAAAACTTTTCCACTAAAAAAATTTTTTTTATTTTTTTTGTAGTCCTTTTTAGTGAAAAAACTTTTGGGGAAAACATTATATGCCAGGCTCTAGCCAGATTTAAGCTGTGAGAGTCGTGTACCATTTTGCACCAAAAAAGTTTTTGTCTACTTTTTTCAAAATTCCATTTAAAATTAATAACGTCCTTAAATTAACTTGGTAAGAGATTTAAAACATTAGTATATTAACTGTTAACTAATTAAAAAAAGAATCAGCTTAATGTGACAATCAGAACAAAAGTTATTAATTTTTTCCCGAAACATCCCATTTTGTGTAAGTTGAGTCACTTTAAGCGCGTAAGTTGAGACACCCGTTTTTCATACAAAAAGGCTTTAGGCCAACAGAGGTCGCTTTCTGCCTAGTACATTTCATTGATATTAGGGGAAAAGTGAATGTTCAAAGAGCCTTTTGATTTTAATTGTTATTTGGTCTAAGTTCTTAAAAAGTGGATGGGAAATAATTTAGGACGAACTAAAATTGATTAAATTAACATAAATAAATAGTTCCTTATAGTTTGGAGTACTTTTTGTGTGAGTATTATTGACTTTAAAAAGTGTCTCAACCTACAGACCTCTTTTTCAAATTGTCATTTTTTGGCACTTTTCAAAAAAAATTATTTTTTAGTTTTCCCAAGGGAAAAAAATTTTTTTTTTTGATTTATTTTACAGCTAAAAGACTAAGCGTTCGATCGGTACCTAACGCGTGAAGTTTCAAAAGCGAATGTCCAAATGGGAGACTAAAAACAAAAGGTGTCTCAACCTACAGACCTCTCCCCTAATATTATTGAAACAAACAAATCATGATCGAAGAGTTATCTTACCGACCACATAAAGTATATATATTCTTGATCAGGACCAATAGCCGAGTCTATCTAGCCATGTCCGTCTGTCCGTCTGTCCGTTTCTATGCAAACTAGTCTCTCAGTTTTAAAGCTATCGCGATGAAACTTTCCCGAAAGTCTTCTTTCTATTGCAGGTAGTACATATGTCGGAGCGAGCCGGATCGGACCACTATATCTTAAGGCTTCCATAGGAATATTCAAACAAATATAAGAAAATTCATTGTAACTTTGTAGGAAGTAGGCGTTTTGATTCTTGACTACTTATGTATAAACAAAATTAAAATAGAAACTGAATCTGGAATCCCTGGAACTGCACCGAGTGATCATTACTTTATCTGCAAGGGTATATAAGCTTCGGCTGGCCGAAGCTAGCTTCCTTTCTTGTTATTATATAAGTTGACAAATAACTCTTATTTGTTGATTTTTATAATAAAAATTGAAGCGTAACTTTTATAATAAAAATTGGAGAATAAGAGTTTTATAACGACCAGTATTTATAACCGGTATATGATATTCGGGGAAAAGTTTGTGACAGGTAGTAGAAAGCATTTCCGACCATATAAATTACACAGGCCGACAAAATGTGTGTGGGGTTGTACAAATTTGAGTTTATTTGGGAAAGTAACAGAATGTTTTACAAAAACTTAAATGAACGAATTGTTTCTTGGTTTAACTTATTTACACAAACTGACATCTTTTCGGAACGCACTGGACGACCTCTTCACTGCTCGACTCGCTGAACTCTTATATCACAGCGCCGCTATTTTACCCTCGATGCTTTTTGAATAAAGACTCGATATTCTTTTTAAATAGACTCTATTAATAGTATTGGATAATAAATAATAATAAAAGAGCAATTCAAATTCAAAATTATATTCTGGGTCTAAACTGTTGATGTCGCTCTTAATCTTACGCTGCAAGGGTGATACACTTATACTAATTTCCCCAATCCTACATGTGGCATGGGTCGGTGTCCAAGCCTGCCACCATTTTTTTCGATAAATGAGTCTTTTCTATGCATAGTTTGCCACTACGCCCATAGTCAAATAAAATAAAAACACCTCTTAACGAGGTAAAAAACTAGTGACGATCGCACCTTCCACGTACAAAAGTTCTGATATCAACTTTTGTGACGAAAAATGATTTTAGATGCGACTAAATAAGTACGATATTTAAAATGTACTCGTTCGGCCCGCTTTACCAAATATTTAATATCTTCACAAAAGTTTTCTGTTGTAGCGTGCCGAATGAATAAATAAATTTTAGGTAGCGTACTTATTTAGTCGCATCTAAAATCATTTTTCGTCACAAAACTTGATATCAGAACTTTGGTACGTTGAAGGTGCGATCGTCACTAGTTTTTTACCTCGTTTAGAGGTGTTTTTATTTGATATCAGAAGTTTTTGTTTGTTTACTTTTGCTCTCATAGGTGCTAATATAAACATTTACATTTAAATTGTCAATCATAATTTTTAAACTATTGTATTTTAACGAATTAAGTTAAAAAGGCGTTGAAGTATTTCAAAATACCTTTTAAACGAGGTAAAACACATGTCTGTACCTTTAGTAGTGTAGAACTTACAAACTAACGAAATGTAGGGAAGAGTGGGGTAATTTCGTCACAGGGGCAATTTCGTCACCTGCAATATCTCGGAATCCATAAGTCTTAAAAATATATAATTTTTTTTGTTTTAGTCCCTCAAGACGGCATGACACAACCAATGCATTTTTTTTGCACAGAAGGCCAAGATAATTGAGCTATAATATTAAATGTGTTTTAACAGTTCAAAAGCTACATTTAGTTCTCGACGAAATTTTTTCTGTATGCCACAATTCAAAAGGAATAAGATACACGATTTTTTATATAATACACAGTGCATTTCTGCGTTAGTGATTTTTAACTTCGCGCTTAATTTTGGAAGAAAAATAATTATTTATAAAAAAGTACTGTCTGGGGAAATTCCGCCACCCTATGCTTAGGGTAAATTCGCACCTATTTTAAATACATATTTTTTTATTTGACGAGCTGGCTAACGAACAGACTACCGGCAGCAGCAACAAATATAGGACGTCAATAAAAATGGTACGCTTGATCAGTGTAGCATACTTACAGGCGTAAAGTTCCCTACATTTTTCAGGTAACGAAATTGCCCCAGTGGTGTGGCGATTTTACCCCCCCTATGTGGCGAGATTGCCCCAGTATACTGGTTTTACTTTTTAATTTTTTATAAATCACCAGGGTAATTAAAAAAATAGGGGAATGTCACATTTTAAAGCTTGGTGCTAACCGCATTCAACAATAAAAATAGAAATATGATAACGTGTCTCAAGATGGACAAAAAATAGCTTTGAAAAAATGCTGACGAAATTACCCCACTCTCCCCTAGCTATTTTTAGCTTTTTCCCGCTAAAATGGAGGCTTTTTCCAAAAGATTCCTATATGGAACTCTTAAGTGCAAATTTACTGATTCCATGACCCTAAAACACAGTTCGGATACCCTCACACAAAATTCAATACTCAGGGAGCGTTAGTAGTTCGAGCTTGCAAAAGTGGCTATTTTTGTATAAAAATAACTTTTAAACCTTTTTACAGTAATGTGTTATATACCAAAATTTAAGGAATCTCAAGGGCTATACAGTTTAAAGTTTTCCAGAAAATCGTTTTTGAAAAAAAATAAAAAAAAAAGTTTTAAAAATTGTCTTTTGTTCATATCTTTTTAACTATTACATTTACACAAAATGCATATAGAAGGCGTTTATAGCATTTAAAAATACCTTTCAAACGAGATGTAGCACAAGTCTGTAGCATATTTATAGCTGTTTAACAAAAGTTTTTTATATCATATCAAATTTTCAAAACTTAAAAAACATGTTTTGGACAAACTGACAAACAGAATTAAATTTTCATTTTGGGAAGAGGTAGAAAATCTTATTTTGGCTATAACTTTTGAACGGAGCGTCGGTTTTATCATATGACTCCTCATTCGACGGGTATTTTCAATAGGAACACAAATAAAACATTGCGAGGGGGCATTTATCCCCACCGGCCCCAACAGCTCCAAATTTCGAAATTTTCACTGTTTTACTGTTTGTCAGTTTGTCCAAAACATGTTTCTTAAGTTTTGAAAATTTAATATGACGTTCATCCCATCGATATAAAAAACTTTTGTTTTACCACTTTTGGAAAAACTCGCTAGTTTAGCGGGAAAACAGCTATAAATAGCTAAAATTCGGAAAACCGTAACTTCTATACTACTAAAGCTACAGACTTGTGCTGCATCTTGTTTGAAAGGTATTTTTAAATGCTATAAACGCCTTCTATATGCAATTTGTGTAAATGTAATAATTAAAAAGATATGAACAAAAGACAATTTTTTAAAACTTTTTTTTAGCTTTTTTTTATTTTTCTCAAAAACGGTTCTAACGATTTTCTTTCTTTCTAATATTTCTTCATTCGGCACGCTGCAATAGAAAATGCCTGTGAAGGGAAAAAGGCTGGAATAGTCTGCTAGGGCGGGCCGAATGAGAAAATATTAGAAAGTCTATTTAATGACGAGTGTAATAATTTTTCGTCACAAATGTTGATATCAGAACTTTTGTATGTTGAAGGTGCGATCGTCACTAGTTTTTTACCTCGTTAAGAGGTGTTTTTATTTGATATAATAGTAGTCGGCTTCGCACACTCTCCTGGTGCGCATCGTCACTACATGGACTGGCGTCCATAGTGATTTAAGAAAATCACAACTTTTTTTCTTCTTTTGGGATATACCCTGCAGTTCCATTCAGCGCTTTTTTGGCAGTGAATCACTGCTAAGGCTTAGTACTCAACCCAACAAAAAGTCGTCCAAAACAAAAAACTTCATATGAAAAACAACGTCAAAAAATTTTTTTCATATGAAGTTTTTGTTTTGAACCACTTTTTGTTGGGTTGAGTACTAGCCCTACTAGCACTAAGCGCTCAATTACTAGTGAATTTGTATAAAAAATAGCGGTGATTTTAACATGGCCATGTCCTAGGGGCTCATCACTGCCAAAAACTGGCGCTTTTTAGGCGCTGATTTACTGCTATTTCAGCACCTTAATTTCGTAAAGAGGGTGATTGGTAGAGAGGGGGTTGGTGAGAGAGTCGATTCTGCCGAGACTCTGCCGACTCAGAGCAATTTATCGCTCGGTATGGATTCGGGAACTGCAGGGTACCTTCAAGAGTGGTCAACCAATTTTGGTAATCTTTTCGGAATTAAATACTTACATGTTTCTTTTATTCTGCCGTTTTTGAAAATGCAATCTAACTTAACCACAAAAAAATTTTAAAGTAACAGAAAAGTTTAAAAAGCTTCATTTGTGAACAGCGTTTAAAAATTAAATACAAATACTTTCTTCTACAATGCATTTTTGATTTAAAGACACCTTATGTCCTTAATTTTTAGGACACTCATCAAGTTTTTGTAAATTGTTTTGAAATTTTTAAAATAATTTTCTTATTTTCTTCCCAGTGACGATTCACAAACAGTGCCCAAACCTGTCACAATTTTTAATAACATAATTCTAAACGGTCTAATTAGTTTGGCCTTGAATATAAGCACATTTGCGTAGCAAACTAATCTTTTCGGGATGAAATGCCTGAAGTGTAATCCCCCTTCAGCAAGAAATTGTTTCAAATCGGACCATTCATTAACAAGTTAGAAAATAATGAAATAAATTAATAAATTAATAAAAGAACAGATAATACAGATAAAACACTTCTATTGGCTGTGTAACGGTCGAGATACTCAAGTAAAACGTTCTCTCTTGTTTTAGAATATAATTGTCATTAAGGGTCTTTTGGTTTTCAAATCAAAATGTAAGAGAGATAACACAAAATGGTCCACATTTTTACAAAATTCTGTCCTTATTTTTTTGGTTTTTTAAAAAAACTTTTTTGGCGCACTGTTAATAAAAATTGGTAATGAGTTTTAGAAAACCTTACCATGAAAAAAAATTCTTCCAGATAAGTTTTAAACACTTATAAAAAATCTGATTGACTTAAAATATATCTTTTTAGTATTTTAAATTAAAATGCGATATCAGAACTTTTCTATGTTGATGGTGCAATCGTCATATTTTTATACCCTTGCAGAGGGTATTATGATTTCAGTCAGAAGTTTGCAACGCAGTGAAGGAGACGTTTCCGACCCCATAAAGTATATATATTCTTGATCAGCATCACTAGACGAGTCGATCTAGCCATGTCCGTCTGTCCGTCTGTCCGTCTGTCCGTCTGTCTGTTTCTACGCAAACTAGTCTCTCAGTTTTTGAGCTATCGGGATGAAACTTTCCCAAAAGTCTTCTTTCTATTGCAGGTAGTATATATGTCGGAACCAACCGGATCGGACAACTATATCTTATAGCTCCCATAGGAAGGATCGGAAAAGAAAACGTTAAAAAAATTCTAGCTTCGGTGTTTTTTGAAATATTACCTTCTACTTTTGATGTTATTTTTTAAATATTTCTGAATTTCGAATTAAATATTTAAAAAATCGGACTACTATATCATATAGCTGCCATAGGAACGATCGGTAAATTAATGGAAAAGTAATAGGAAATAAATTCTAGCTTCTTTGGTTTTTATTGTATTATCTTCTACTCTAGGATATGACTCTTTTTAAATATTTCCGAATTTCAATTTTAATTTGATCAAAATCGGACGACTATATCATATAGCTGCCATAGGAACGATCGGAAAATTAATGAGAAATATAAGAAAATTGAACATTTTTGCGATTTGTTAATTAATAGGAATGATCTGCAAGGGTATATAAGCTTCGGCTGGCCGAAGCTAGCTTCCTTTCTTGTTATAAAAAATATTATGTAAGAATTCTAAATTTATGTATTTCAATAGAAAATTAGTAAAAATTTCAAAGAAAGAAATGGCACTTCCACTTTTTTGATACAATAACTTTAATATTTTTTCAAAAATTAAGAAAATGTGAAATTTGACTAGTCTTAATAAAATGTAAATCAAAGTAAAACTTTGAGAAAGGATAACTTCGGTCTGATAAATAATGCGATTTCAGTTTCAGATTATGAAAGGAAATTATACCCGTTACTCGTAGAAAAAGGGTATACTAGATTCGTGCAAAAGTATGTAACAGGTAGAAGGAAGCGTTTCCGACCCTATAAACTATATATATTCTTGATCGGGATCACTAGCCGAGTCGATCTAGTCATGTCCGTCTGTCCGTCTGTCCGTCTGTCTGTCTGTATGAACGCTGAGATCTCGGAAACTATAAAAGCTAGAAGATTGACATTTTGCATGCAGATTCTAGGAGTTCCTACGCAGCGCAAGTTTGTTTCAAAAGAGTGCCACGCCCCCTCTAACGCCCACAATCGCTTATATACGATTTTAAAAATTTCAATATTTCGGAAAAGTAAAAATGAAGTTTTATCGGACCATTCGTTAAAAAGTTACGGCGGATCAAAGTTTTTATCTCCATCTCCTTCGCACTTCCTTTAGCTGAGTAACGGGTATTTGATAGTCGGGGCACCCGACTATAGCGTTCTCTCTTGTTTTATTTACTTAAACTGCCACAACTACATTTTGAGATTTTTGAGATTTGATTTTAACATTAATTCGCAAAATCGGCCTCTGTTACCGCACTGTGCGTTGGATAAAATTATTAAAACAATGTCGAATTTTTTAGCCAGAACTCAAGGCAAAGTGCAATTCAAAATTAAATTCTTTCTCTAGAAATTTTTATCGAAACATAATGTAAAGTAAAGGCTTAAAGACGGTCGACAAATCAGAGTTTCCTTACTTGCGTTCCCGAATGACCTCCTTGAGGAAGGCCATGGCGTCGTAGTATTCCCACTTGGACTTGAAGCGCGTGCTGCCCAGCATTTTCTCGTGGTTCAGCTCGCGACGGAAGATCTCTCGAAGCGAAGTAAAGGTGCGCTGCACACGCTCCCCGTTGACGTTGAAGAGCCGCCCCAACTCGTTCCACTTGATGGCTTTGCGCTTGTCAGAGCGCTTGTAGTGGGGAAGGCGGCAATCCCAGAGAATGGGGTTCAGGCGCACTAGCTCGATGAGTCGGCGCTTCTCGATGTTGTGACGGGAGAAGGCCATGGTCGTTCGCTTTTTGCTCTTTCAGACGCTGTTGTCCAAACTGCAGCTACCAAAGAGGCCACTGCGCATGTCCTGTTTGGCTGGATGCTGCGCTGCGAAGTAAGCCGGGAAATGAAGTGAGAAAATCGTTAATATTGGCTAATGCTGATGGTCGCACCGACCGTTGCATACTTTGCGGCACTTTCTTGGGCGGCTGTTTAGGGGGCGAGGTGTTTGCTCACGCACCCACTCACCTTGGGTGCAATGACCCCAGCAGGTAGGGGCGGTATTTGTTTTTGAAATCTCATATGCACAATTAAATAAAATTTTTGGGAGAAGGAGTCCATTGAGATTGAGACAATAGAGAGGACAAATTAAATATGAAATTAGATGTGGCTTGGCTGTTGGCAGGGAAAATTTGTTGCCGGCCACTCCCCGCCAATTAATTTATGTATTTCGCTTGTATACAAGTGGAAGTTCGCATAAGTGGCTGTTAGCTAAACAATTATCGAATAGCGTAAACAATTGTGTTCTGAGAATCTGACTCTACGATAAAGTACATACATATGTATTTACATATTTCATGGGGTGATCGAGGAATTTGACAGCTACATATTTTGAATGTACGTGCGAACTGAGAGAGGAAGTTTGTCCTTTTCCTGCGGGAATTGGTAGGACCACGAATTCTGGCTCCCCTCCGTTTCGACTTTCGCTAATTGCTCACATATCTCAATTGTGCTTGCAATGCAGACACTCACTAATGGGAACACAGTGGCGGCTATAAATAAACGCCTGTGCTCTTTGGTTACTGCCACGCAGTGCCTATGATACCAACATTGAAATCTTCACTTTTTTCGCACGGAATGCCTTAGATTTTCATAGTTTTTCGCTCGCTTTCACACAAAGGCATCTGACGCCTGGCATGGAACTAAAACCACATTTGCTCACTGTTTTGTTTACTGCCGCTGATTTCACTGTTGCGTCGCTCCGGCTGCTCTTTATTAACAATATGAGCAGCAAAGTCGGGGAATTTATTTCAATTTATTTCAATTAACAACAAACGCGGCTGCCGTTGCGTCGCAGTTGCTGCCACTTATTGGGGATGCTGCTGTTGTTGTGTTTCGTGTTGCGAGTAGCTCGAGGGCCTTGCCACAACTATTGGCTGCCACAGATACAGATACAGATGTTCGGCAACACGGCAAAATTAACCACACTCACACACTCTCCCGGCCCAGTTTTCAGTGTGTGAATGCGTGTATACACACTACTTAAGCGGGCGGACGAAGAGAGGCAACAACAAACAAACAATCAAACCGAAAAGCAAATTCAGGAGAATAACTGCTGTTCGACGGCTAGCTAACTTGCGATTAGCACTAGCACTGTCACATTTTGGTACTTCCACTTGCCACTTTTCACTTGTTACCTCTCACTTGGCCATTCGTTGGCAGCTTCCTTGCGGAGAGTGCGCCGCTGCTCTCCTCGTAGATTTTCACAACTGCAAAGCGAACGAACTTAATTTTCTTGCAAATCAAATTGGCGGCGCAGCAGCACGAGAGCGCCGGCCAGTCAGAGAGCGAAGAGAGCATCTGTCGCTTTTCCACAGCCCCAAAAGAGAGCAGCGGGGGATGTTGTTGTTGTGCCGCCTCCGCTGATGTAAACAATCGGAGAATAGACGAGGACTTGCTGCCAATCCGATGCTTAATTACACTATGAAACATCAGAATTTTCAAGTGCGGAAAGTATGTATCTTTTCAAGCCACCTCACTTTATTTTACATACATTTTTGTAGGAATAGGATAGGATCATGGAGGTGCGAAAAAGAGCACCAACCATTAAAAGCTAATTTGATTTCCATTCGATATTCGGACAAACCGCTCCAGCGGTTTCCAACAAAGTAATAGATAATGAACTCCCAAAAAACAGGAACCGTAAATAATGATTACACTATGCAGCACCAAAATTTTACCTCGATGGATGCTATATTTTTGGATTCGTTGCGTATTCCCAAGTTAAACTGCGTTTTCCAAAAAGTTTCCCGACGCAAGGATTCTTAGCAAAAGGGCCTCAAAGTTCTAAAAATGCTGAAATTGGCCAACTTTCCGGAGCGCCTTTTTTTGACTTTTTTTCTTAAAATCAATAGACAATATTTTCGATATCCGTATCAATTTTTTCAAATAGGTGGAATTCTAATCAAGATAATAATAAACACTTCTTATATAAAAATTCCCGTTTTCCACATATTTGTTAAATATTAAGAACCTGTGACGAAGTGGTGCTATTATTTTTTTCGCAACTGTATAAATGCAATTTTGTTGTATATATTTATACCTATCGAAATGTAGAAGGCCATTCGGACCATTCATCCAATCCAAAAAATTTTATATATCCATCTCCCTCTCACTCCCTTTACCTGAGTTACGATTATTAGATAGTCGGGACATTAACCCGACTATTGCGTTCGCACTCCCTTTACCTGAGTGACGGATATTACAAAGTCGGGACACCAACCCGATTATAGCGTTCTCTCTTGTTTTTGATTTTTATTTTAAAGCTAAAAAATAATTATTATTCTTGAGTTTTATTTTTTTTATCAAAAATAATGATTGATGATTTTTAAAATAAAACTCATAATGATTACGGTCCCTGCCAAAAAATAATCGCCCTGAATTCTAGAGCTTTTCAAAATTTTTATTTTTTTTTTTGATTCGTTAGATATTAAGTTTTCAGGGGTGCCACAGCAACAGCTCTGCGCAGAATTCGGGCTGAATTAATATAAACAAAAATATAAAACGGATGAATTCAGCCCGCATTTAGCGTAGAGCGGTTTTTGTGAACTGAACTTTTAACTCAAATACATAAACTTTGTCAAAACATATGTGTATGTAGCTATTCTCTTTTGAACAGCTTAGACAACTTCATGGTAATGGACGCATCGTATCCATACACAGCTGTGTCGAATTTTGTATGATAGTGTTATTTTCGCAGCGGAGAGCACTTATCGCCGCTGCGGTGCTGTTTGTGGCAGTGGCACGTTATCGCCGTTCTGTGGCGAGTGAGTAATCCAAAGAGTGATAGCAGAAAGTGGTTTGTGAGCGGAATTTGCCAAACACAAGCGGGATAAATAAAGAACAGCTAGAACAACCCAGGATTGGCATCAGACGAAGAGAGAGCAGCATCCGCAGAGCAACAATTGTACGTGGAATTGAAGCTGAAGCAACAGCTTAGTGGGGAGAGCGTATCAGAGAGCAAGGGTTGGATTTTTGGTAGCAAGCTGTGGTAAGTGGGCGGGAGGGGTAAAGAGAGAAGGGGGGGCGCGCTCCCGCTACCGTTAACAATGGTAGCCAGTCGTTCTCTTCACTCTCCACTTGGAATTTACATACATATGTATATCTCATCCCATTTTGCTGTTCTGGTGATGCGGACATTTAACAATGCGAACAAATACAGTCGCTGCACACGCACACACACGTATGCAAATATTCAATTTGCCACTGCTGCAATCAACTTTATTACCCGCTGTTGCTCTTGTTTACTCATTGTTGTCTCTCGTTTGGTCATCTGAAAAATAAGCTTTAAAACCGAGCATTTATCAATCGCAACAACACATCAAGTCCGTGTTTTTGCTCTCCCTTTCCCTTTTCAGCAGAACACCACACATACTCTGTTTGATTTGACTTATCAGTATGCGTACTCGGCGCTGATGAATCTGCAATCGAGTCGAACGCGGTCTACAGCTTAAACTCAATCAATTACTGCAATGCAAATCCGTAACACACAAATATTTTTGGAGAGGTTACAAGATGTCACGGGTGTGACAGATGGTCTAGTCGATAAGATCCGTGGGGTGGGAGTGAGGCCAAATGCCAATGAAGCGTTATGAATTTCTTTGGAGTATTTAATAACAACATTTTAAATAGGCACCAATATCACTATGGGCGGCAGTCCATGTAGTGACGAAGCGCACAAGGAGAGTGTGCGAAGGCGACTACTATTATATAGCCGCAAAATTAAAAATCTGTTGTGATAGTCCGATCGTAATGAGTAATACACCAAATTAAAGGTATTGCTAAAACTTAAAGACCTCAAGAATATCAAGAGGTTTGGGAGAGAGAGCGGTGAAAGTGTAAAAGTGAAAATTTAGAAATTTGGATCTGTTGGGGCCGGTGGAGATAATTGACACCACGCTAATTGTATTTCTACTGAAAATGCGCTTAATATGAGGGGTCATATCAGAAAATCGGACGCTCCGTTCAAAAGTTATACCGAAAACAAATTTGCGGGGGCTTAGTCAAAATGAAAATTTAATTCTGTTTGTCAGTTTGTCTGTGTGTCCCAAAACATAGTTTTAAAGTCCTGGAAATTTGATATGATGTTCAACAGCTCGATATAAGAAACTTTAGTTCTACCACTTTTGGAAAACCCCGCTAGTTTAGCGGGAAAACAGCTACAAATAGCTAAAATACGGAAGGCCGTAACTTCTAAACTACTGAAGCTACAGACTTGTGCTGTATCTCGTTTAAACGGTATTTTAAAATGCGGTACTTTGAGCACCTCCTATATGTAGTTTGTGTAAATGTAATATTTAAAAAGATATGCACAAAACAAAATTGTTTAAAATTTATTTCTAATTTTTTTATTTTTTTTTTTTTGTCAAAGACGGCTGTAACAATTTTCTTTAAAACTTCAAACTGTATAGCCATTGAAGTTCCTTCAATTTTGGTATAGATCATGTTACTGTAAAAATTCAATAGTCAAAAATAGTCATTTTTGCAAGCTCAAAACAACTTACGCTGCCTAAGCATTGAATTTAGTATGTGCGTATCCAAACTGTATTTTAGGGTCATGGAATCAGTTAATTTGCCTTTAACAGTTCCATATAGGAATCTTTTGTTCTACGACTTTTGGAAAAACCCGCTAATTTAGCGGGAAAAAAGACAAAAATAGCTAGATTTCGTTAGTTTGTAAGTTCTACACTACTAAAGCTACAGACATGATCTATACCTTGTTTAAAAGATATTTTGAAATACTTCAACGCCTTTTTTACTTAATTTGTTTAAATACAATAGATTTGAAATTATGATTGACCAATTTAAATTTAAATGTGTAAATTAGCTCCTATGAGAGCAAACAAAACTTCTGATATCAAATAAAACAAGAGAGAACGCTATAGTCGGGTTGGTGTCCCGACTATCTAATTCCCGTCACTCAGCTAAAGGGAGTGCGAACGCTGTACTCATTCGGCACGCTGCAATAAAAAAGCCTGTGAGGAGTGAAGAAGAAAAAGGCTGGAATAGTTTGCTAGGGCGGGCCGAATGATACAATTTTAGAAAGTGTATTTAATGACGACTGTGATAATTTTTCGTGACAAATGTTGATATCCAAACTTTTGTATGTTGAAGGTGCGATCGTCACTAGTTTTTTACCTCGTTAAGATGTGTTTTTATTTGATGTGTACATATCTGGAATTCCTGGAACAACTGCAAGGGTACATAAACTTCGAAACAACAAGTTTTTTTTATATGTATACTTTTAAAAACAACAAGTGATCTCCTCTTTTTAAGTACGAAAAAACACAGTAGCGGGACTTCTGAAAGCAGGTCTGGATTTTACCAGGGATGAACACAAATAACTAGCTAGTGACCCTGATCAAGAATATATATACTTTATGGGGTCGAAAATGCTTCCTTCTAGCTGTTACATACTTTTGCACGAATACAATATACCCTTTACTCTACGAGTAACGGGTATATAAACACCAAAGCTAGAATTAAAAAAAAAAAATTTTTTTGGATTGTTCCAATGGCAGCTATATGATATAGTCGTCCGACTTTTTTAATATTTTATTCGGAAATATATAAAAGATAACATTTCCAAGAGTAGAAGGTTTTATTTCAAAAAACACCGAAGCTAAAATTTTTTTAACGTTTCCTTCCTATGGGAGCTATAAGATATAGTTGTCCGATCCGGTCGGTTCCGACTTATATACTACCTGCAGTAGAAAGAAGACTTTTGGGAAAGTGTTAGGCCGATAGCTTCAAAACTGAGAGACTAGAGAATAGTTTGCGTAGAAACAGACAGACAGACGGACGGACAGACGGATATGGCTAGATCAACTCGTCTATATATACTTTATGGGGTCGGAAACGTCTCCTTCACTGCGTTGCAAACTTCTGACTGAAATCATAATACCCTCTGCAAGGGTACAAAAATAAAGTGGAATCTATTTCATCTCAGATTTTGAAATTTTTATGAAAAATTCGATTCCATGTCACGTTCTATCTGAACTGTAAAGAGGCCTTTTTATACCCTTGTAGAGGATATTATAATTTCAGTCAGATGTTTGCAACGCAGTGAAGGAG